TTACAACAGCTTTTCAGAGAAACACACTCACACACACTTCACTGCTAGCTAACATGGTTAACGCGCGTTACATTGCTTATTTCCTCCTTCTCCTTGCCCTATCATTTGTTTCCTGTTTCACTCACCAACTCTCTCTCTCCTTCTAACCGCAATAAAATGCAAAATTAATCACATTTATAGGAATTCAAGGGGGAAACCCTAATGCATAGAATTTCCAATTGAATGGATTTTTTTGTTCGTCACTTGACGAACAGATTTTGGCTAACCAATGGACAGATGACAATGGATGTGTGCGCTGTGGTGGAAAATCGGTTGTTTTCTTTTTTTATTGGATTTTTATATGAAAAGTGGCCAAACAAAATATAATTTAGACACGTAAATTTTGTGGTACACCAAATTTACCAAAATCATTATCACCAACAGCAGGAGTAGCAACAACAATAAAAACAACCGAAATAACAGCAATCATGCGAATAACAACATCCATTCATTGACCAGGAGAGAATCGTAGAATAGAGCAGGGGAAGCATTTCTTTGGTCCGTGACCATAATAACAACAACTGATGTTGTTGTTACTGCTGCTGCTGTCACACAATTTTTATGATTATTAGTTGTCATTTGCTACACACACACACGTACACATAGATAACATTTTTATGTTTTCTTGACACAAGATGTCATATAGTAGTAGTTCGTAAGTTTAGTGTATATGTATGTCAGTTTTTATTGCAAAAATAATAAACTCCGTAGCTCTAATAAACCAAATAAAATGGTGACAATTCCGTGTGCATTAAATTTATTAGAACTTCTTTAAAGGCGTAATAAACTTTTCGAAAAACTATTTTTAGATAATAAATCATTTAAAAGGAAAGATATAAAAATTATGGGTAACAAATACCAGAAGGTTGAATATGGTTGTAGAATTTTGGAAAAAAAAAATATTTATAATTTTCTATGAGAAAGGCACCTTATGTAACTTTGCATATATATATATACTTGAAGATGTAAAAGAGAAGAAAAATACTTTACAAAACATTTTTGTTATTGTTTTGTTGTTGTTTTTTGTAATTAAAAAATAGTCCTTATATTTGATGGCGATCATGATAACTCCTCACTGGAACATCAGAATTCGAAAATTCCAACGGTGTTTGGTGTCTGGCTCTCGTATGAACTAGGATTATTGGCTTCGCTCTAAAATTAACAAAATGGCGGACCTTTAAAAAAATATTTTTGGAAAATCGCCAATTTTTGACCAAAAACCAAGTTAAAAAATAAGGAAGTTCTTCACCGATTGGCTTTATCCTAGTTCATACGAGAGCTATACACTCACAGAGAAACGTGTAAAAATTTGGAATCGATTGGGTTATTAGTTTTTGAGTTATCGTGCCCGCCATTCGTTTAGAGAAAAATGCGTTTAAAGTTTGAGAAGCCTTTCAGCCGTCATTTGATGCTGACACAATAAATCGGCTATATCTTCAAGAGTTCTTGAGATTTTCAATTGAAATTTTGTAGGGACATTCTTGAATTAGTGTAGATTCGAATTAAGTCACAAACTTTTTTGACCCCGTGAATGGGGGGGTCCCCTTAAAGGCTTGGGTTTGATTTGTTTCAAAAATATTGTTCAGTGGTATTAATTTTGTTTGTGACTGTGTGCCCCTTAAACATGATCGAATATATATCGTAATATGGTTTGTAAACTTTTCTAGAGAGCCAAGATTTGTATCAGAACCTACAATGGACTTAAACCCCATTCTAAATAATAAATTATTTTTTTTTTTAATATGACATGCCTGGATAACAAGATGTCAAACGATATCTGTGCAAAAAATGGCAAAGTTAATCACATTTATGGGGATTCAAGGGGGAAACCTAATGTATAGAATTTCCAATTGAATGGACTGAGCCTTCTAATCGAGTTAGCAGAAGAGCTTTCCATTTATATTAAATCGGACGAAAATATATATATGGGAGCTATATCTAAATCTGAACCGATTTTTCCCAATTTCAATAGGGTTCGTCCTTGGGCCAATTAACTGACCTGTGCCAAATTTCATCCAAATCGGATCATAAATGCGACCTGTACTTTGTTAACCAAAATACATGGACGGACGAACAAACGGACATGCATTAATCGACTCAGAAAATGATTCTATGCATATTCTCAAAAGGAACCATGGGTCTATCACGATTATTTTTGCCTGTTACAAACATATGCACAAAGACATAATACCCTGTACCACAATGTGGTGATGTGTGTAAAGTGTCCTGAAAATCGGTTCAGATTTAGATATAGCTCCAATATATATTTTCGTCCGATTTAATGTAAATGGTGTACCAAAGTCCCTGTATATCGTTCGATTTGCACGAAATTTGGCATAGCGTAATGAATTAGCTGTAGAATGATGTAGAATGATCGAAATCAGTTTAGATTTAAATATAGCTTCCACATATATATAGTTTTGTCCGATCTTAGTTAAATGTTGCACCGATTGACAAAATTTGCACAACGTATTTAATTGAGACTAGAATGACGATGTCTTTTTTTTTGGAAATATGGAGGCATAGCTTTCATATAAATCGATTTACATAATTGTTTTCCATTGTAGGCAAAGATCTCTAAATCTACCGACATTAGTTAAATGTTGCACCGATTGACAAAATTTGAACAACGTATTTAATTGAGACTAGAATGGCGATGTTTTTTATTTTTATTTATTTATTTTTTTTTTTTTTTTTGGAAATATGGATTCATAGCTTACATAATTTTTTTCCATTGTAGGCAAAGATCTCTAAATCTACCCGAATGAAATGAAATTTATCATAGGCATGGATTGATGTTAGTCAGTTCACTTATAGATAAAAATCACATATTTAAATTCGTTCAATTTCATGTCAATATACATATGTAGAATATATCCAAAGTGGTGAAGGGTATCATATAGTCGGCCCAGCCCGACTTTACTACTTTCTTCACTGGTAAATTTTTAAGTTATTGCCCGTCATTAAAAAAACACGCCTTAAAAGATTGAGAGCCACTTCTGCCGTCACTTCTTCCTACCACAATAAATCGGCTATTGAAAATTTAGTTATAGTATAATTGCAAATGTGTGATTGGAACATTTTTTTTAGAACAAGAGTCGAACACTTTGTTTTTCTCAAATATGAAGAAGTTATCTGGTTCTGCATTTCCTACAATATAAAATACGTTAAGCTGCAATTACAATCGATGCGTTTAAATTTTTATTTATTTTTTGAAGCCAAAATTTATATTTATTTTAAAAAAAATCAAAGTCGGGTAATGTTGACCACCATAAAAAAGAGAGACCTTTTAATGAGAGACCTTTTTGTTCAAAAAATGGGTCCATATTAAAAACATTTGTGCAATATTCTACCATATGGCTGCATTCAAACCCCATATGGTGGCCGAAACGTAGATCCATATATGTTTGCACTAATTGTTACCCAAGATTTAAATAAATAGAAATTTATTACAGTAGATTGACTGTGATAAATTTCTGCTTATGTCACTGGTCCGCTTTACCCGGTAAGTAATTTCGCCGTTTAAGTGTACCGCCCCATTTGCGGTATTTTGAAGGCCATAGCTTCATTATACCTCATAACATAAATGTTTTTAATATGGGCACATGTTTCGAACTAGTTGTAATGAAAAGGTCCAGTTTTTTATAGTGCTCCACATTACTTGACATTGAAATTTTAGATAAAATTAATTTAATTAAACAAGCAATAAATAAAAACTAAAACCCACCGGCTGTAATTACAGCTAAAAATACATTTTTGTTGTAGAAAATAAATAACCAGATAACTATTTTATATTTGAGAAAAACAATTTGTTCGACTCTTGTGCAGATTTCTCAGATTCCTATCGGAGTTTACCTAAATTTTCAGCATTTAAGTAAGCTAAAATCAAGTTTGATGTTTATTTGCACTAATTAGAAAAACATAATTTTTTTAAGATATGTGGTGGTCTACAGTACCCGCATAGTCCACCTTCTTCCTTAATGCCATAGATTACAAATTGTCAATACTTTAGCCAACCTATTCATGCCCATCTCAAATCCAGTATTTGAATTTGGATGTGTCTACATTAATATACAATTTTTCTTGAGCCTATTTATTTGGTAATCTAGGGCCTCAAACGCTCCGGGTTTAACGTAGACCAGACATCGATATTATTTTAATATCCAATCACTTTTTATGTTCAATTATGAAAATCTAAATTTATTACAAAATATTCCAACAAAAATTTTGAAATGTTTATTTTATTTATAATGTTGTTTTGTATTTATGATATACAACTGTGAACTGATGACAACACATTTCCACAGGACAGCACTATTCGACAGTAAATCTTCACATAAATTAAAAATATGTTATATTTACCCGTCTCTTCATTTAAGATTTTTTCCAAATAATTTTTACAATATCCATCGGTTTGTATGTGCATTCTATGTTGAATATTGTTCATACGCAACATTGGACACTATTCGATATTTTTATTCAGCCCTTAAAATTTTATATAAATTTTTTATTTTTTTCAAGTCACAAAGGACTTCCACTACGATTTTGGGATTATTTTGAAATATCCCGCAATTGAATATTTTGTAGGTTTTCTCCCATATTATATTAGAAGGTGTTTTTGAAATTTCACTGCACTGATATCCAAGAGGAAAAATCAAAAGTATTTTATTTTGACAAAAAGCACTCTATACAAATTTCCAAACAAATCGAAAAATTTCTGATCAAATTAAACAAATACAATAATATCCGCAATACTTGTTCCTGAGATGCCAGTGAAATGTCAAAAGCAAGCAGATAGCAATGTAAACATTTTCAATTTCACAAATAAACACAATTTTATATACAAAAAATCCAAAAAAAATTTTGAAGTTTTTAAAATCAATAAAAGATTGTTTTTTTCAAAATTCAACAACAATTCAAAAACAATTTGAAAATATTTTTTGATTTTTAAGTAATTTTACCTTTTTGATTGTCTTTCATTTAGGACAGACAAGCAACAAAACACAACAACACAAATTCAAAACTTCAAATTTAGTTTTGAAATTTCAAACGAATTAAAATCGATAAACTTATGCACTCAATTTGAACAAAATGATTTTTTACACCATGCACCGTAAATTAATGACTTTCAATTTTTTGTTTTAAAAACAAACAGACTCTCACTAAAAATTCAAAAATTTGTTAAACAAAATTTCCAACGAAAACCCAGATCTGTTGCAAATATATATTTTTTCGAGATTTTTCCTTAAATAAAATTAAAATTTTTCAATAGATCTGTTTTCAACAATTTCTTATTTTCCCCAATATTTTTTTAGTAATTTACACGTTATTTTGCGTTGTGTTTTCAATTCACTTCACACTATTTGTTTTTAAAGAATTTTCCAAACGACGTTTACACCGTTTTCCATTAACATTTATCTCCAACCTAAATCTCCATATGTCGTCTTTCGAGACATTCAAAATATACGCAAACGAAAAAAAATAATTATCGCAAAAGTACGACAACTGTTTTGGTTACGCGGACGCGTTCGTGCGAGATGTGTACGACGTTGAGATTGTGTCTTTGGTGTATTCGACTCGACTCGACTGACTCGACTGGTGGTTGTGTAGCTTGGCGACTTTGCTGTTGCTCGTTTTGTTGATAACTGAAATCAGCGCGAAAATGTCTTTTTCATTTTTATTTTTTGTTTTGCCTTTTACTCCTCCTACAGCTACAGCTGGTTTTTGCTTCTTCTTGTTCTTCTTTTCCTTGTGTGTTTTTTTATTTCCCATACTTGTCCTTCTTCTTTTTCGTCTTCGCCGTTTGTTCTCATCCTCATCTAGCGTTGTTGTCGTTGTCGTTGTCTTGTCTTCTCTTGTCTATAATCTACATTTAATTTTCCTTTCTATTCCATATTGCACCAAAAAAATTATTGTCGTATTTTCTTTGAATCTGCTGTGCAAGTGTATGTGATTGAATGAGAGGAGAGTGTGTATGTGTGTGTGTTCGTGCGTGTGAGATTGTTCTGTTCATAACAAAACAAAAATGTTGTTTATTATTATTTTTCTCCTCTTCTGAAGCTTCTCATTTCTCTGGGTTTTGGTGATGTATATTTTTGTTGTGTTTTATTAACATTTGCCACATTGTAGGGAACATATACATGCATATGTATGCGTGAGTCTTGCATTCTACCACATTGAGCTACAGTTGTCATTTGTTGAATAATAAATAAGCTTTCTTATGTAGTGGGTGCTTTCACCGAGTTTATTGTTGTAGATAAAACGAGGACCTTTTACAAATTGTAGTTAACTTAACAGGTTTCAGTATTCAGCATTTTCTTTAACCTCAGCCATAGGCGGTCTGTATTTTACGTGCTGGAGGGGGACTCCATAAAATAAATATCCTTTGTTATTGACCAGAGCACACATTTAATTGAATTTATCCACATTTGTCCGGCTGTTGAAATCACGGAGATGGAGAGCACAATATTGAAGATTTCCGGTATTTTCAAGATTTTATCGATGACGATTTCCAACCGAAGAGGATCTAATTTAGCATTCCAGAATCATAGATAGTTACAAATTATATATTCAGAGATAATATTAGACATAGCCCCAAACCTACACGTTGCCCCATTTTACATATTTTGACGGTTTGAATTAAATTTTCCAATTGGAAATTTGTATTAAAAAATTCCAGACAGACGTAGCTACCGAGGTGGAAATACTCCCATAAATCGGGATGATGATTATGTATTTAATGCCATTCCGAAAAGACACGACTAGGGTTTTTGTAATAACTAAAATTTAACCGATTTCGCTACGAAATTAAATTTTAATTTTTGTTATGGAAAAAAACTTTTGTTAGAGTAATTAGTGCCCATTGAGCAAATATATAATAAGGGTATATACACTTTAAAACGGCAAAAATGTGTTTAATCGAGATATTGGTTTAATGTCCCATGTTTCTCTCCATGTAATCAAGTTAAGTCCCAAATATATATGCAAAATACGGTATAATGACGTTTCCAATGATTGGACGAACATGGGTCCTCTTTAACACTTTGAGCTGAAATAGAAATACACCTAAGTCTGTTTTTACACGGTAGATTGGTCCCAGAAGAAGCCGTGTAAAAAAGGGAATTCCACTAAATTAGTGCTATTCACATTTGCTTTGACCAGTAAAAATTGTTTGTACGCTCTAAAGGGGAATTCACTTAAATCTTTGAGCTAGTGTTCGCAAACTATCGATACTATCGATGGTTTCAGACTTTTTTTCATAAATACTTTTTTCTGATATGAACATACTTCGTAAAAATTAAATTTGACAAAAAAAATTTAAGTACATAAAATTTCAAATCATGCTAAATGGAATAAAATCGTGTAAAAAAATTAAGAATATTCAAATTTCAAACCGTGTACAAAAAGACCGTGTAAAAATAGACTTAGGTGTAGTTTCAGTGGTTTTTGTGCAACGTGCAAAGATGGTAGGGTCGTTTCCTTCGTTTTGTTCTAACAGGTGGCATTTTTCCACCAAGGTATTTCCCAACGACACAAACATGTTTGGGTTTGCAAACTGTTCCTCAACGACTTTGAAAGATTTTGTAGTGAATATGAAATATCCGATAATTGAAACTTAACCTTTTGCTTGAAAATAATTTGATGATTTGTAAATAATTTTATTTCAATCATAAAATTGAATTTTAATTATTTGTAATTGTCGTAACAATGTTTTCCACATATAACATTTAGTGCCAATAATAATCTCTGAAAATTTTGTATACGATTATTTCAGTTTTTGATCATTTTCTTTTTGAGTATATAGAGTTTTCTATTATAATGCTAAACAGATTTTTTTATGAATGCAATCTTCTTATTATTTGTCTATTTTTATAATTTTATAATCGCCATTTTCATTTTTTTCATTTCAGATTTTGAGTTGGTAAGTAAAATTTTTTAAATATTTTAGATTTTCATTATACTGACTCATTTGCCCTCTACATAAAAATTATTTATTTTTGAGACTCTCAGAACTTGTATTTCATAACTCTATACATATATCATAACTCTATACATCAAGAACGATTCCCAAACAAATTTAACAATTTTTGATCTCTTCATTCACTAAAATCTAAAGTACTTATTTTAGTATCAGTTATAGTAGAATTTTCTAAAACCATATTCAACCTTGTTCGCATGGTTGTTAAGTCCATGTAAGTCACAGAAATCTACATATGTAGATAGCCAAACTTAAATTTTTAGTAGCTTTACTCTCTTATAGTACGTATTTCCAAAATTACCCTATTATTACCAACAATACCAACCATCAATTCTGACCACAACAGAAATCTAGCGTATATTAAATTACTTTTTGCACTCTTCTTCTTACTTCCAAAACTAATTCCAACATTTAGTACACTTTTCATAACAACATACCAATGAAATCATATTTCTCGATCGATCAGTTCACCCAAATCCAGATTTACGTACATATACGCATAAGTACGAATTTCCAAAACTTTCTACATACCCCAGTGCTTCACTCCAAATTCACTATTCCAAATCTATCGATTAACCTAAATCCAAATTGTATCAAATTTAGTTCCATTTAATAAACATTTTCATTACCTTATATATCATACACTGTTCAGTACTCTTCGTATACACTTCTAAAACCACCTCATTATATCAACCCTATTTCTCAACCTTGATTCGCATTTCAAATTTTATTCCGATTTTTTTACCTCTATCAGTTCACATTCTACAAAATTGTAGCAAATTTAGTACATTTTAGTATTTTTCGGATACATATAGTTCGAATTTTAAAACCATTTCGTTACACCTATGCTCCACTCCATCAGTCACTCAGTCAAATTAAAGAGTTCTAGCTTGGTTCGCCAAATACAAATCGTAGCGTGCTTAATACTTTTTAGTACGTTTCGTGCCTTTATAGTACGACTTTCCAAAAACCAAGCCATATCTGACACATATGAACTAATCCCAAATTTCATGTTTCTAGCTTGATGAGTCGTTAAGTAAGTCAGTAAGTCAATCACATTACTCTTTAATTAATATAGATAAAACCAATAGAATATACTACTTAATCTAAACCTTAATCTAAACCTTATAACCACTAAAAAATCATCGGTATCTATCGGGACACTCTTTCTGGCACCACCTGGTGAATCCTATTTGGTCTAAACTTGTTATTCATTAATATTTTCAATAAGCTGGTATATAGTGGAAATAGATTTGACCCGTCGAACCACATCAAGGTTTCATTAAAATATTACGAAGTTGTTTTTTTTTATTTTTTTTTTTTTAATATTTTCATCCTAGAATGAGCAAAACTTAATTTCTAGAATCGATGAAGCTATGGTAAAAACATTACAATGTATGAAGTTTGAATCAAATTGAACTGACATTTCGCTTCTTAAGTTTATAAAATTATGGCACCCACAGAAAGAGAGATTCCATATTCGGACCTGATGAATCTTTTGTAAAAATTTTACGAATACAGCGCATCAATTCAGATACTCTGAATGCACATTATTACATATATATTTTTGGTCTTTAAAATGTTCTCCATTTTTTGGGGGGAATATAAAAGAAGGAGTGAACACTATTTTTATGTTTGGATGAAATATTGCGATGTCCAAATTTATGGCCAAACCGGTTTCCTCCCTAGAGGGTTAAAGTGTGCACCAAGACAAACAGACGGCTCCAAATAGTTTGCAACTGATCTGATCTTAGTACACATGGCGTCGCAAACCAATATTTCTATGCGGCATCTTTCCATCCTATTAATGTATATATATATATATATATATAATTGTTATTCTTGTCCAAATATGCATTTTATTATAAGTTACAGATGTAGAAGTGGAAAGAGTCTCTATTTGGGATGAAATCCCATAGAAAAGGACAGAGAAAAAGGACAGATTTTTAGAAAATTTCAATAAGGATACAACACCGGATACCACACCAAATAATAATTACTTAGAGCAAGTAATTACCAACCAAATAATAAC